TAAGGAACCCATTCTCTCACCAACACCCTGCGGGTCACCCTGATGGTTTGCCGCAGGGTCACTCCGCTCCTCAGCCATGATGAGGTCGGTTGATCAAGCCGCCCTCACAGTCTCGCGTCGAACACCGTCCAGGGGGACGTACAGCAGTCGACTGATGTCGCTATAGCGTGTTGGTAAATCAGTGGCTTCTGGAGAAGAATATTGTATTAGTGAGACCTAGGTATGGAGAGACAGGTCGGAAAGTGGAGTGAGGACAGGGGGCGAGCGTGATGCTCCCAGCTCCCAACGTCTCCTCCGGATAGATGCACACTCGGAACACAAAGCAATGTACCGAACACGACAATGACCCGTAAGCCCGACCTCTAGCGACAATGCTAGAACGTTCCTACTGGACAAGTGTCCAACGTACCACATACCAACGTACCGACTTACACCTACGGTCCGTTGTACGATCCTTACGTGTGTACAATCTACCGGACTACCACAAAGAGTATTCGCAGAACACTCGGCATGACAACCTACGATCGACAGTTCTGCAATTAAAAATATCCAATCAGATGTTCTACCGCAGCTCAGGCGATACATAAGGCCGCTACCACGAACACTTCTTAAGTCGCGAGGGAAGGGATTGCTGTACCCTCCTCGCGATAAAAACATCTCAGGCAGGAACCGCAGGAGGGGGGTCCAACCCCCCCCTCCTATGTGACCCCGGTTGGGTCGTCTAGCTGGTAGAAGTGGAGGATAGGGACCAGAGGGGCAGACGACAGAATCCAATGATGGGAGAAAAACACACAAACAAACAACACATGGTGAGCCCTCGCCTGATCCAATATGCTCCATGCACTCCTGCAACAGAAGATGCGTGATCTCATTTACTGGCCTATCGGGCATGCTATGCGGCCGTGAAACTATCTCACTTTCAGATCAGATCTATCCAACAGCTGGAACGGAGCTGCACGGNGATAGGGACCAGAGGGGCAGACGACAGAATCCAATGATGGGAGAAAAACACACAAACAAACAACACATGGTGAGCCCTCGCCTGATCCAATATGCTCCATGCACTCCTGCAACAGAAGATGCGTGATCTCATTTACTGGCCTATCGGGCATGCTATGCGGCCGTGAAACTATCTCACTTTCAGATCAGATCTATCCAACAGCTGGAACGGAGCTGCACGGGAGCCGGAGCCGTTGGTGTCCTCGTCGCTTCCTGCTGAGTTGTCCTCGTACGGAGCTGCATCCTCGTCTACCATCATGGTCTCTGCCCCCTCACCAGTACGCTCCTCCTCACCAGTAGGCTCCTCATTACGCGTCTCTGACTCTCCACTCCACGCCGAGGTAGTCGCGGGGGCACGAATAATACCTTCATCTGAGACGGCACTCCGCGCGGAGCTCTCACCGCTTGCAGCATCCTCCATTCTATCGCTGTTGGTCTGCTCAGGCCTTGGTCTGCTCAGGCCTTGGGGCTAACCGTGGGTCCGCTGCTACCCTCGTCTGTGGGCAGGGTGCGCATGCACTTGGTATTTGGCAGGGCAGCACGTCCTGCGTGGTGTGCGCCGGGTATTTTGATTTGAAATCGGTTCTGTAGAGTAGGTTCTGCAGCCGTTTTTCATGTTGGCAGAGGCCTCTTTTCTGACAACGTTGGCAGATTCCCTGGCGCCGGTGGTTTGTCAGCCAGCCTTGATTACGTGAGCCGGGCTATGCGGATATAGGTCCTGTCAAGCTGCCACGGTCAGTAGGGGGAACTGTGCCAGTCATCGAGTGTCGGGGTATCACGACATCGATGGTTTCTTGTTCAGCACGGTTGACGCTGGATACGTTGGTGTCACCTAGCGTGTCCGTCAGCCCTTCCAACCAAACCATGGGCGACTGCTGAGGTACTCCTTGAGTGGGGGGAGCGCAGGACCATGAGGGCATGGGCGGTATGAGTAGTGGGGGAGGGGTAAGAACCGAAGGAATCGGGGGCGTTGGAACGTGTCAGGGTCGGGGAGAGAGTGGGTTTGGTGCACGAGAGGCAACGGGCACCTCCCTCAAGGAAGATGTTCAAGAGCATGTTGGTAGTCGCCGCCAGCCCTTCAGATGAGAAGAATTTTAAGTGGAATCACTGTAGTGCAGCAGTGCATCGTTTCAGAGCCGTATTTGGGCTAGCTGGTGAAGCGGTTAGTGCAGAGTGCTCTGGTTGACTCTCTACATGCTGCGCCCGCTGGATGCGACCGCACACGAAAGTGTGTGTAGGGTGAAATGCAAGAACCCAACAAGGGCGTCGATCTACACTTTCGATTGGGCACTCGTGGCGTGGGGGAGAATGTTCAACCTGAAAACGTTTCCCGCGCCCGCCCTTTGTAGGGTGTTCAACGTTTGACGTGACTGTTTCGCGTCGCAAGCAGGTGCTGCGACTCCTTCCGCATCATGATGGTTGCAATTGCTGAGTATAGATGGCAAACAGCACTTGTACAACTAAGCCATTCGTCTCAACAGCCTCTGGACGGAACCTCACCATCATCTAAACAACCCCATTGAAGCTTTCACAACAGGTTCTTTCCAAGACGTGTCACACGTCGCAGCGACCTTGGCCACACGGCTCCGGCAACAGGTTGATTGAAAGAACCACCGAACGATGGCAGTGTCAGGGACGCAGGCCACACGACCCCGGCAATAGGCTGATTGAAATAACCACCGAACGATAGCAGTGTCAGGGACGTCGGCCACCCGATTCCGGCAATAGGTTGATTGAAGTTGTACCCGAACGACAGCTGTTGCAGGGACGCTGGCCACACGACTCCGGAGATAGGCTGATTGAAGTCTCTCCCGAACGATAGCTTTCGCAAAGACGCCGGCCACACGACTCCGGCGAAAGGCTGGCTGAATATCAACCCGAATGATAGCTCTTGCAGGGACGCCGGCCAAACGACTCCGCCAATGGGCTGATTGAAGTGGTGCCCGAACGATAGCTGCTGCAGAGACAACGGCCAGAATACTTCGGCCAAATCTTGATTGAAGTCCCCGAGCGATAGCTTTCGCAAAGACGCCGGCCACACCACTCGGGAGATAGGTTGATTGAAGCAGCGCCCGAACGACAACTGCTTTAGGGACGCTGGCCACACGACTCCGGAGATAGATTGATTGCAGCAATGCCTGAACGACAGCTGTTGCAGGGGTGCCGGCCACACTACTCCGGCAATGGATTGGTTAAATGACGTACCGAACGATATATTTTGCAGCGAGGACGGCCACACGACTCCCGCGATAGGCTGATTGAACATCATCCCGAATGATAGCTCTTGCAGGGACGCTGGCCACACGACGCCGGCGATAGGCTGATTGAAGCGGTGCCCGAACGATAGCTTTTGCAGAGTCAACGGCCAGAATACTCCAGCCAAATCTTGATTGAAGTTCCCGAGCGATAGCTTTCGCAAAGACGCCGGCCACACGACTCCGGGAATCGGGTGATTGAATGACCTCGCGAACGACAGCTTTTGCAGGGACGCCGGCCACACGACTTCCGCAATGGGCTGATTGAATCTGTTCCCGAACGACAGCTTTCGCAGAGACGCCGGCCACACGGCTCCGGCAGTAGGCTGATCGAAACCACCCAGAAGTGCCAGACACTGCACGCGTTCGGGCCACGACACATTCTCTGTTAGAATATCCAAATCTGCCTTCAGGACCAGCTGTGTCAGTCGTCGGGGCCACCAATTCGCTGATCTTAGGCTTGCCGCACATAACGATCCTTGCAGTTCAAGACATTCTGACCACGTCCACAGCTCGATGGCGGCTGTCCGTAGCAGACTTTCCATGGGAAGTGCCCACGTCAAATGAAGAGCCCACACGGCCGGCGCACGGCCTGACACAGGCACTGCCGATTTGCTTGTGTTCGGCCGGGTCTGTGTTGTGCGATGAAACTATAAATGTCCAGGCGTCTGATCAGATACACGTACGTGCAAGATTGAGGTACTTCGGCACGCCCTGCACATATCCAACGAGGTCAGCTGCAGCTCCAGCGTCGACGCATAACAGCGCTTCTCCCCTCCCTTGCATGCTTGGCTCAAGGCCACGACGAAAACATCGAGGCACCGGGTTTGCCCTGGGAACCATCAGTGTCGACAAAAACCGAAACCGATTTTTTTGGAAAGAATGGTCCGATACAATTGGCAGTTTCTCGTTTTCAGTACTATGCGGAAGTGGAGCGCAGTACTCCTCCAACTGCTTTGCTGTCTTTCGGTGGACCGGAACCCACTTCACCGTTCCCCGTTGGATCTCATCGCAGTACGCGTTCACTTGACTGCCCATCCGTCGAAGTTTACCCGCTGATATTGCTGAGATCTACCCATGGGACCGCCCGGTTGCCAGTAGTTCTGACCGAGCTCCTCCCGAAACTTTCGCTTCTTCCTTGGTGTACACCCGAGTTTCTGGCATCTTCTCCCCCATAATTCTCGCGTACAGCTTGGCCGAAAGCGCCAGATGCGACAGCGGCGTTCGGCCGTTGACATCACCGACATCGTCCACTTCTGCGCACGACGCCTCGTGGCCGGCCCCGTTCCACGCCTTCGCGTTCTCTCCCCCCCACAAGCTCCGGCCGAGCCCACTCCTCTCGCCTGTGTCCACAGAATCGACGGCGGCTTGCCACTGCGGGAAGACAGGGAAGCTCGGGTCCCAGTCTGCCGTTGCCCGCTGAATGATCTCCACAAGGTGCTAGTTGTAGTGCTCTCCAAGCTCCGCGGATAGACCACGATTCTTGACCATCATCTTGAGATTCCACCGGAAATTGAACTCCAGCAAGACCGATTGTGCTAGGGCGGGCGACGCGCTGTAGGAGGCCAGGTGGTAACCCTATTGGAAAAAGAGTGAGTGAGGCACAACAAGAGGGGTTAAGTCAGAATCGGGAATCAAACCTACAACCAAGTTGATTTTCGATGCCATGACGGCTACTAAAATCATTCTCCGGGCCTACATTCACAACAGCAACAACATGCTGGGAATCGTACCTCGACATCATTGGTGCCTCGCACGCAACGGTACCTGACAAGACCGTCCGTGGTCTTGCCAATCGCGTAGTACATCGCCACGCCGTCAGGATCGCTCAAGCATCCGGCCACGATGTGCTTTCGCAGCAGGCGCACGGCCTTCATCGATTTCGGGCGCAGGAGGGCCTCCTTGGAGACGTTGTCGACACAGTTGCCGAATTCCTCGACGACCTTGTCGAAGGGCTTCAATAGTTCGCTCGGCGGAGGGACAAGACGCCGGCATCTCTTCAGGAAAAACGACCAGTTGTGGTCCTTGACCTGCTCCGCCTGTGCCGGCGTCATACCGCGACATTCCAGCACCTTCTCCACCTAGACCGAGGGACAACAGGGTAAAGCAACGGTCGGAAGGCGGGATCACCGGGGTCACTAGAGAGGGAAGAGAAATGGTCTCGCACGCCTTGTTCGAGAAGGTACGTTGCAGATGGGAATCCTGATTCAACTTGCCTGTAGGACGTCGTCCCGGTTGACAACAAAACAGGCGTCACGCAACCGCGCCATGAACAGCCTGAAGGCGCCGTGGCCTTTCTTGATCGTGCGCGACAGACGGTTGAGCGCATGGAACAGATCGAGACGCACAAAGACCATATCGCCAGCTTGTTCCTGTGTCAAGCACGGAAGAACATGAACCAGACAAGAAGAAGACGAGTGCGATATCTAGTCAAAGCATGGTGTGTACGCAAAAACGGCTGTTGAGCATGACAAAAGACAACCATGCCCACAACCGACACGAACACTAGGTAAAGTACACTAGTAGACCTAATTATTGGAACCCAAATGTCACCTGTGATGCGACAGCAGCATCAGCATCCGCCCCGCTAGCGCTGGGTCCTCCACTGCTAGCCGCATGCTCCACCGCTTGCTCCACTGCTCGCCAAATCAGCACCTATCCCGCTCTCACTGAACGTGTCGTCGTCACTCTCGCTATCGGCTCCAAGATCGCTCTCAACATCTCCATCTGCGGACGACAATATAAAGAAAAGTGACTTGCGTATCACGGATGGGAGCGCATGCTCACCTGCATGGACCTAACTGCTGTACGAAACAAAAAACGGATGACTCTTTATTCTCACCGTTGTGGTAGACAGCCTGTGCTGGCCTTGGCGCGTCGAAGAAGTCGTGTTGGTAAGCATCGGCGTCCGCCGCGCCGCCTGGCAAGGGTGTACCTTCAAACGAGCGGTGAGCGGATGCCAATCGAACATGTACGAGATCCCACAGGACAAAGCCGTCCCCAGCAACCACGTCCTTGATTGATACCCGCCCCTGCCCATGTTGTGCTGGTGGAGGAGCTGTATCGTGTGGCACGAAACTGAAAGGCTTGAGGGCGTTGTTTACTTTCACCACAACACGCCGAAGCCCCCCACTGCGCGTCCCTACCCTCCCACCCAATGTCAAAACGGTGCCCCACTTCTCCAAAAGGGAGCTCGCTTCGTCTTCGGTCTGAACGTGCCCAACAGCGACGCAGCTGGCGTGGTTGTTGGTATACAGCCGCACCTGTCGAGAAAAATAACCGCAAACGAACATTTAAGCACCAACGCTCGATGAATGCCCAAACTCTGAACAAGGTACCTGGAATCCAACCACAGCGCCATGTTTCTCCGTTCAGACACAATCACGGCACGCTGCACAAAGAACCAAGAACCAACCGGCAGCCTACCTTCGTCCCCGCAGCTGGAACTTCGCTTGGCGCCTCGCTGAAGATGGGATCTTTGAAATTGCCGATTTCGGTGTGTAACAGGACCGCCGCGTATGCATCCAGGCAAGCATACTCAATCTGTGAGATGCCACGTTCCGATGACGAGCAAGCAAAGGGAGGAACGAACATCAATGTTGATACGCAGCGCAACAAATACTTTCACGCAAGTGGGAGAAAAAGCGCGGAAGCACGCGGACAATGAAAATCATGTATTTACCTGCTTCGGCGTCAGCTCTGGTCTGCTCCAGCAAGAGAAGCGTACAGCAGCATCATTCGACAGGTACTTCCCCAGAACAGTGGCAGTCATCCCAGCAAGACTCCGACAAGGCAGGTCCACCCAGCAAGCCCGGGCGTAGCTCCTCAGGTCCACCATGCCTCAGGTCTCCACGTCGTAGTCTCGTTGAAGGTGCTTCCCGTCACCCTTCACAGCAACGCCAACCTGTTGGAACAAATAGGACATGAACAGCAATGGTGTTGCACAGCAGTGCATTGTAAGGCGATGCCAAGGAGTGCAAACGCAGGGATAAAATGTCGTCAGGCATGAAGACATCTAACAGGCTTACCTTGGTGATAGCCGGGTCATTCAGCAGCCTCTTGAGGCTGGTGTTGAAGGTGGCAGGTTTTGTACCCCTGACCCCGCGTTGCAAGTGGAACAGAAAGGAGATGCCGTCCGGGAGTGCAAGCTGGAGGGTGCAAACGGGTCTCTCCGAGCTGCCGTTTAACGCTGGCTCCCACTCGCAGTCCATCCCCAGCACCATCCCCTGCGTCGAGCAGCCTCCAATAAGGGTGGCCACGGCAATGTCAATCGCTGTCTTGTCGAAGACCCTCACCCCCGTCTTGCCTTCCGGAAACGTCAAGGCTGCTAGCTCCGCTCCCCCCTCCGCCGCCTTGGCACCGGTTGCGTCGAACAGGAGGACACGGGTCTCCTCTTCGATCTCTCGGAACATCGCTAACAACATCCCGCGATCTTCGCAGCATTCATCTGGATATCGGCATGGCGAGGTGGAAAAAAACCAGAACAATTCAGGCACAAAATTACCAACAAGTTTTACGCGCTCTCAAACGCAACGGCCACCACGGTCGGTGGTCACTGATCAGATTGCCGAAAACTGGAGTACATGCTGAAATCGATGACGAAGCGCCCCACACCAAAAATCAACCTACCAGAGAATAGGATGACAAGTAGCTTGAAGCCGTGGCCAATGTAGCGGTTGACGAAAAGATTCTTCAAATCGCTCTTCAGATCATGCACGGACGAAGTCTTCATTGCCTTCTGAAACACGACCTGCAAGAACAGGAGGCGCCACCATGATCAACTTTGAGGAGACGCCCGTGGCCGAGCGAGGCGTATGGTGTACGGACACAACGGAAGGATGATGAAATACAAACAAACTCGCCTGCTCATACTCGTTCAAGATGGTGAAGATGCCTTGAATGGGCTTGCTCCTCGTGGACTCTCCCGCTGACGTCAAGCGAATGACCTTCGCGTACTTGAAAGATGCACCGCCTGCCAGGACCAATCCGTCAACAAGCTGTCCTACGCGCTGGATATGGTCTTCTCTGGTCATGCGAACGCCGTCAGCCTGTACTTGGAGGGAACGGGGGAGAAAGGGGCGTAAACAGCAAACAAGGTCGTACCAACACACACCACCGTACAAGAGCAAATAGAAAAAAAAGCGAGCCCAACCAACATTGAAATCGACTACACTACGGCAGTAGCAAGAATTGCGTGGTGCTCCGTTGTCAAGACAAACCTGAGACACCAGAAGGCTGCACGCGCCCTGGGAGAAATCAAGCATTAAGAAGCGGCGTACCTCTATCACGACTGTCTCGTAAAACCACTTGTGCCAAACAGCTCGAAGATACTGGTCCGACGGCCACGCGCCGTTGAAGCCTTCCCTGTCGCCAAAGCCACCGAAAATTGGAATGTCCGGCGTTCCCTCCTCAGCGGCAGCTCTGAAGTGCCCGCCAATGCTTCGCTGGCAGCGGTTAACTAGAGATACGTAGCTATGGTACTGCATCATGTACGAATTCATGTACGCCTCACGCTTGAACTTCGAAGTCGCCGAAAATCCTTTGCCGTTTAGCAAGTCGTCAGCTAACCGCGCCACAACAGCAGTTGTCGCTATCCCGCTCTTACGGGTCAACACGAAGGGAAACGCGTTTGATACGTACGAATCCATGCGCGCAAGAACGCCCTGGTCCCAAGCGTTAAACGACCCTTTGCGACGATCTTTATCGCCCGTTCCCTTCTTCTTGTTGTGCTTCAAGCAGCCGCTGCAGGTGTACCTGTCGGACAACGCCAGTGTTTTCAGATTGGAAAGCATACGTGGGAGGAAATGAGCAAACTCGCACAAATCACGCCATGGCGCTGCCGGCGCACACACTTGTTATGATTACAAAATTGGAAGTGCTAATGGATACAAGCTGCTTGTTCCAACTCAAGATCATGTCGTGGTGCTCGAGTACACATGCACGCATACATGTTTCAAAGCACGAGACTCCAAAAAATCAAAAAGCACACGTAATGCCCTCCCATGTCCTTCACGAAATGGACAAGGCGCACGCACCTAAAACCGATGAGATATCCGATTTCGTCGTCGAGAAACACGCGGCGAGGTTGATTGAGTCGGGTTCCAACCATCGGAGCTTGCGGGTTTGTCACAGGTCGGGCATTTGATGGTGACGCCTGGAAAGATGAATTCTGGCACCCACACGAACACCTTTTTCAAGAAAAAAGGTTCCACGCGTGACAAGGCTGGGAAGGAGAAAAGAACATGACACGGGTGCAAGCAATTTGGTCAGTCGTGCTCGACAACTTTCTTCTAGCCGCACACACGGCCGCCGTCGACCGCGGACCAGCTTGCGGACAATACTGCGGGGGTTGTTGTTGTTGTTGTCTTCACATTAAAAACCATCCCGGTCTCTCTATCCAGTACCTCCTTCTGTCTCGATCTCTCCGTACTAATCCAGCACTTGACTCGGGCAATTTCCGTGGTCACAGGCTAACGTACCTANAGTAAAACAACAAAACAAAATAAAACGAAATAAACCAAAGACAGACGAGAACATAAACAAACTCGCACAGAGACAGGGATATCCGTAGAGACAGTCTGAACGCGACAGCAAACGGGGGAGAGGGCAACAGAAACACTTGTCGCTGAAATTCAACCGCAACATGTCACGTCACGCGGTTGGTCCCTTCTCGCTTGCTTTCTTCCCGCGCCGTTTCCTCCCGCCCCCCTCCCGCCCCGTTGATTGGTGCCGTATCTAGACTATTTTTGGGCCCGCTGTCTCCTCGTTTGATGGCTCGTTGTCGGCTGGCCTTCTCCTCGCCCTTGTGCCAAGAGGCCATAAACCTCTCAGCTCCCTGTAGCACCCCCGCGTGCCACGGTACCCCCCCCTCCACCTTCGCCGCCTCATCCCAGTCTGGCTTCGGGATTCCGAAGAAGCTCCGCTTGTCGGGCGTGGAGCCGTGTCTGGCTTCGAACATCTTCAGGTCGTCCTTCAGGCATATCAGCCAGTTCTGCTCCGGGCTTCCCCGGCCCGGGTTCTCCCCTCCCACCAACTCGCCGAACATCAGCCGTTTCGGAAGCCGCCCGTCTGGCTGTCTTGCCACGGCCCCGGCAAAGAGCAGGCGCCGTTGACGGACAGTGGCCTCCACGCTCTGGCAGCCGACCCTCTTTAGCGCCTGGGCGTATGACAGCTGCCGGTAGGTGCCTCGTTTGCGCCGGTAGCCGATGACTCGCAGGAGTAGCCGGTGGTGTGTCGTCTGCAGCATTCCGTAGTGGTTGCGGCGTGGGGACCATGTCATGCAGCCGTATAGCAGTGCCGCCACTGCCTCCGCCTGGAGTAGGCGGGCCTTGAGGCGAAACGGTGCTCCCGGTCGGTCGAAGAGCTCCGTGGCGTATCGCCTAATGCACGCCCACGCTGCTTTGCTCCTGTGGTTGATCTCTCGGGTGAGGTCGCCCTGCTCGTTGATGAGGCCGCCCAGGTATCGGAACTCGGTCGTCTGTGCGTACCTTTGCCCCGCTGCTTCGATGGTCAGCGGCGGCGGTGGCGTCGGCGGCGGTCGCTGTTTCTCCTTCACCCGCATCACCAATGTCTCCGTCTTCCTCTCCGACACCGTCAGCCCGAACTCCCGGAACACCTCCACGATAATGGTCATCATCCTCGTTGGCGGACTTCGACACAACGCCGGCATCGACGGCATATAGCATCCCCCACACCGCCCTCCGAACTCGGGTGCACATGTACTATTAATTGTACCTGAACGAGCAGTGTATGTACAGGTGTAGTTGATGTTTGAAAGGCAAAAAAACGCCGCAGGACCACGATGCCCTCCTGAAAGATTCTGCCTCGAGGCCAGTGGAGGTGTTGCCCATCCGGTTTCATAGGGGAGGCCACCGTCCTTGAACACCATCTTCCCGCGGTCGTGGATGCTTGAAGCGCTAACCTTTGTCTTCACATCCGCGACCCACTGCAGCTGGGCTCGAGACAAACGGAACACAAAAGGGTCCGCCTCCTCTTCTTCGCTATCAGACCCAGACGCCGCTGGCGGCGAACTGCTACCGCCACCGCCACCGTGGTCGCCCCTGCCGCTCGTGTGCTGTTGCCGCTGCCGCTCGCCCTCCGCCCGTTGCCTCCCGCTGCTGCTCCCGTTGCCGTTCCCGCTGTTGGTTTTGCGCCGCTTGCTGCCCTGCTGCTGCTCGCCACTGCTGCTGCGGCCCTCTTCACCGACAGGTTCATCTCCCTCCCCTAGGCTGCCTTGTGCTGGCACTCTCGTAGGCGTCATGCCAGTGCTGCTGGGGGTGGTTCCAGGCGACGATGGTCCTGCGGCGGGGGCGCCGGGGGGAGAAGAAGTTGGTGATTGCATTCTTCTTCTGAGCGGCTGCAGCTTGGGCCTTTTCCTGCGAGGTTCTAGGTCCAGGCTTCTTTGCTGTCGGCTTATTCTTCGTCCCAACAGGCCGACCAGCCCGACCGGACCCATGACGCTGCGCGCTCCCCTTACCCTTGTTTCTTCCCAATCCGTCGTAAGGGTTAGGCGCATCAGGTGTCCGGCCTTGGGGCTGGGGCTAGGGAGTTGCTCCCAGTGTAACGTGTTCGCCCAGCAGCAGCGCATAGAACGTCACCCCATGGCCTTGGTACTCCAACCTCCTCCCGTACGTAGACCACGGCACGATGTGTATGGGGTAGAACGTAAAGCATTGAAGCACCCAGAGGAAGCCTCCGATTGAGTCTCCGATGGAGACCATCGCCGCACGAGCTGGGCGCTAATCCGAGCAGTCCGATTGATTGATTGCGGACCCTCATTGTAACCCAGTTGTTACGTTGTTTTTCTCCGATCATTGGACTCTGTCGTCTGCCCCTCTGGCCCCTATCCTCCACTTCTACTAGCTAGACGACCCAACCGGGGCCACATGGGAGGGGGGGGTTGGACCCCCTCCTGCAGTTCATGCCTGAGGTATTTTTATCGCGAGAAGGGTACAGCAATCCCTTCCCTCGCGACTTACGAAGTCGATTATCACCACGTGGTTCCCATGGTTTGGTGTGGGTTGGGATGGTCTGCGTTTGCACTAATATCGAATCCTGGGCTCTGATTGGCTTGCACTAATAAAAGTTAGAGCCCTCTGATTGGCTTGCACTAACAAAAATTGCCCCTATGCGGCCTGGCGAGGATGATGACCATTATCGTGGAGGTGTTCCGGGAGTTCGGGCTGACGGTGTCGGAGAGTAAGACGGAGACATTGGTGATGCGGGTGAAGGAGAAACAGCGACCGACGCCGCCGCCACCGCCGCCGCTGACCATCGAAGCAGCGGGGCAAAGGTACGCACAGACGACCGAGTTCCGATACCTGGGCGGCCTC